ACTTTTCTGTGCCATTTCCATTTGGTGATGTGCTTAGAAGAATCTTGACATTTGAAGGATACAAGTAAATGCCACTTTAAAGCATTTGATAATAACAAATTTTCAGTACTTTCATGGGTAAGTCAAAGCCCTTCACAGACAGTTACTCATATCCACAACAGTGTATTGGAGATAACGGGACAGGTATTATTGGTATTTTTCAAATAGATGCTGAGGTCACCCAAGAAACATTTGGCAAAACTGGTAAGGATATTACAGTGGAGAGTTGGCAGAAGCTGGCAGCACATGGTGACTAGCCCAGTGGTCTATGGCCAGTCGGCCACAGAGTGGGAGGAGAACCTGGGTCTGGGAGCCAGTCCTCTAGGCCCGTGGTCGGCAAACTGCAGCTTGCGAGCCACATGCGGCTCTTTGGCCCCTTGAGTGGCTTTTCCACAAAATACCACGTGCGGGCACGCATGTACAGTGCGATTGAAATTTTGTGGCCCATGCGCAGAAGTTGGTATTTTGTGGAAGAGCCACACTCAAGGGGCCAAAGAGCTGCATGTGGCTCTTGAGCTGCAATTTGCCGACCACTGCTCTAGGCCATGTGCAGTTCTGATTCTCACCCTCTTGTGAATGGTTTGGGGGCATACGGCCTGCTGGCCGGATTCGGCCCATTGGAAATGAATAAAACTATTGAAAAAAAAAGACCGTACCCTTTTATGTAATGATGTTTACTTTGAATTTATATTAGTTCACACAAACACTCCATCCATGCTTTTGTTCTGGTCCTCCGGTCCAGTTTAAGAACCCATTGTGGCCCTCGAGTCAAAAAGTTTGCCCACCCCTGATTACTAGACCGAAGTGAAGCAGCCTTTGGACAGACTAGCATTCCGCTCTGCACACATTTAAATCTAGCTTTTTACATTGAAAATTTTTGGCCAGTTCTACACAGATCATTCCTCTTACCACTAGTAATTACTGTAAGTAAACTCGTGGATTTGAACTGCCCTTTCTGTTTCGTAAACCCAGTAAGTTTTTACATTTTCCCTAAAGCAGCTCTGATTGGCTCTTTAACTGCAACCTAGGGCCTTGGGATAGACATGCTAGTGGCATAACACAGTGGTCGGCAAACCACGGCTCGCGAGCCACATGTGGCTTTTTGGCCCCTTGAGTGTGGCTCTTCCACAAAATACCACGTGCGGGCGCGTGTGTACAGTGCGATTGAAACTTTGTGGCCTAGGCGCAGAAGTCGGTTTTCGGAAAGGAGATAGACGAAACAAGTATACAAGACGAGTGTGGATGGGAGAGTAGGAAGGGGTCGACCTCAGCGAACGTACCTCAATCAGATTGAGGACGTTTTTAGCAAAGGCCAGCTTAGGAGTACCCTAATTAACTTAATAACAATGTACCTACCTATATAGTTTAAGTTTAAAAAATTTGGCTCTCAAAAGAAATTTCAATCGTTGTACTGTTGATATTTGGCTCTGTTGACTAATGAGTTTGCCGACCACTGGCATAACACATTCCAGCAAAGAAAACAATACCACTGTTTTTGGTTTATTTTGAAATGCCTACACACTTGAAAGTGTTCATCTCAGTAGACATTTTCTAACTGGCATACGTAGTGTTGATGCCTTCAAGCAGCAGGGTGTTCTTGGTCTAATTGTTTTGGACAGGGGATGAGCCATTATATGGGAAACAGAAGGAAGAATTGAGCATCCGAGACCTTTGAATGACTTCCAGCCTTGATCCAAGGGCACAGGAAGTGTGACTTCTGAGAGCGATAAAGATAAATGCAGCCACTTTCACTAGAATTATAATAGCCCTTCCTTAGCCACTTGGATTCAAGAAAGATTGGCTGTCAGGATAGAGCGGTGGCCTGCGCTTACCTTGGAGGAGTCTTAGGCAAATCAGGGTTTTGAGAGATAATGTCCAAAAGCAAGCACAGCTGAGGGCTTGTTATCAGAGGCAAGCATAGCAGTGAATAAGCCTGCTCTTATCATGAGCCGGCACTAAGTTCTGTACATAATTCCAGTTAATTTCAGGTCCTCCTGCATCAGTAAGTGCAGCGAAGGTTGTCCTTGGTGAGCGTCAGTGAGCTCCTTCCCGTGGGCCCGCTGTGGGCTCAGCCCCCCTTAGGTTCTTCCCAGAAGCTCTAGTGCAGACATCACAACCTAGACAGCTGCTTCCTATCTTTGGCTCACATTCTCTTTCATTTTGATTTATTTTAATGCACTTCAAATCAATGGGCATTTCTTGATTTGATTCTTGTAATGGCATTACTTCAGCTCTTAGGGAGATAAAGGTGAACAAGGGTAAAGTACTTCCCTTCGTAAGTTCTTAGCCTTTTCCCCCACATTTTCCCCTAAATTTTAAAGTTGAAAAGGTTCAAACCAACAGCAAAATCTATATATATTTTGCCCAAATTTATCAATTGTTGACATTTTTCTACTTATGCAATTCTTTTGTGTGTTTTTTGCTTTCCAAACCATTTCAATCCTGCTTAAACCCCTCCTAGGTTGAAAATATCATAAGTAGAAATGCATTTGATATGCCTAACCTACTGAGCATCACAGCCTCACCCACTTTACAGGTGCTCAGAACACACGCTAGCCTACAGTTGGGCAGCATCATTTCATTGCTGCTGCGGTATCACAGTGCATATTGCTGGCCCAGGAAAAGATTAGAGTTCAAAATAGAGTTTCCACTGAATGCATATTACTCTCACACCGTTTTAAAGTCAAAAAACTGTAAGTCAAACCGTCATAAGCTGGGGACTCTATGTTGCAGGCATGATGATACAACCTGAAGCATTTCGGGGGTTAAGTATCTCTCAAGAACAAGTATGTTCTCCCATATAACAACAGTGCCATTATCTACTCCAAAAACTAGAACACTGATAGATTAGTATTGTATTGCCTATATTCATGTCCCTTGTTTTTTTCCAGTGATGCTGTTTATAACATTTTTAAATCCACTACAATATCTTTAAAAGTCATACATCATATTTAATTGTCTTATCTGTTAGGGTCTTTTAACTCAGAAAAGCCCACACACACACATACCTTAACACTGACAGCTTTGAACAGCCCAGGCCAGCTAACCTGCCAGGTGTCCCCCATTCAGCGCTGGTCTGATGGCTTCCCCTGATTAGATTCAGAGTAAGCAATTTTGACAAAAATTATTACACAAGTGATGTTGTATTTTTGTTCATGTCACATCACATCACGAGGCACGTAATGTCAGTTTGTTCTTTTACTGGTGATAGGAGCTCTGTCTGCTACATTTTTTAAATTGGAAGTAATACATGGAATACTTTGAGACTGTAAATATCTTACTCCCCAACAACGTTTCACTCAGTGGCTTTAGCATCATTGATAGATGATCCTGCCTGAACCAGTTATTACACTGGCAGCTGCAGATGGTGCCTTTCTAATTCTCTAATTCCATCACTCATTCCTTAGTAGTAGCACTCTTCTATAGAAGAGAGGTTCCTCTCTCCCTGCCTCGGGGGTTCTTTTTATTGTTTGATATATTATTTTGCATCACTCTCAGTATTCTTCTCTATCTTCTCAATCTCTACTGATTTTTTTTTTTTTTTTTTTTTTTTTTTTAGCTCTCTCTTGCTTTTCTGGAAACAGATGTTTCAGACTCACCTATACTTTGCTGATCCTAGACTAAGAATCTAAATACTCAAATTCTCAGAAAAGGAATTATTATCCACCTGTGGGAGGTAGTGAACCAAAGAGACCTCTATAGGCTAGAAGGTGACACTTGACTTTAGCCTTGAAGGATACAGCAAGCACAGAAAAAATCAGATATGTGCCAGGAGAGAGAGCACATCGAAACTTTTCATGGGAGTAGGATGTTCCTGTTCTATTAAAGAAAGGGCAAGTAGGAGGAAGCAGTCAGGTAAGGAAGGGCCTCAAATGCCAGGATGTTTGGGATGGGGAACAGGCAGGTTATAGGCAGTTGGGTCTATCAGGTAAGGCATCTAGAGCAGTGGGAAGGAAAAGTGATGGTTTGGAATGAGTATGATTAGAAGAGTATCTGCTATGTGTCCAGACAGGAGTCTACTCATTATATTCCTTAAAGAATGTAGGAATATTAGTTATACATTATCCTGTAATATAAGACTATTGCTGAGTTTTAAAATTGCCTTTCCAAATATTTCCTCAGAAAGATAACAGGCTCTCTCTAGTGGGAAGTGGGCATTACAATCGAATTACTACAGTGCAACTTCCAGGTTTCCTGACTCTGACTGTATGGGCCCATAGCACTTGTTTATTTTTTCCCTGAATTTTACCCAAAAATAATAATATTTATAAGACAGTCATGTTGGAAACGTGAACTGCTCTTATATAAGCAAAGAGAAGTGTGGTCACCACTGTGCCTAGCATTTACTCCAAGCACAGTGTTAGAAAGTGTAAATATAGATTTATGTAATTTATGAATACATAAGTTCTTATTATAACCCCTCTCAAGCCTTCAGCTGGATAACTAAGTGGTTTACAGGACAGCTCCTCCTGTACTTGCTTTGCAGCTGTGCGGCAGTGGCTCACTCAATTTATGAGGGAAAAAAATATCAAAATCCTATGCTTCCTTGAAGCTAAAACAGGATTGCTATAGAGTTTAATGACTGGTGTACATGTTCTGAATCATCAAGAAAAATTCTAATTGCACCAGGCAAGGAATGGAATAGCACGTTACAGAAATGGGATTTGGTTTTACCGTTGATAAGGAAAACAAAAGAAAAGTTAAAGAACTTTGCTATGAGAATGGCATGTATCCGAAAGGTCAATAACCAGCCACCAGCCCCAGCAAGAGAGGTTACTGCAAGTTAGAAAAACTTCCAGTTTTAAAACCCCATGTCCTATACTAGTATTTCGTCCACCCACATTTTACCTATCTTCTATCAAAGCATGTGCTCACTTGTGTTTTGGTAACTGTTGACAGATTCATTCTACACTGGAGAAAGGTTGGCTTTCACCAAACATTTTCTTCTCGTTTTCTTATAGCAAATCACGTGCTCAGCTTTGGAACCCTGGTCAGCACCTCCAATACCTACGATGGATCTGGTGTTGTGACCGTGGAAACGGACCACCCACTCCTCTGGACCATGGCCATCAAAAACTGACCCAGGGACTAGCCTTCGTAGCTCTGCCTCCAACTTACCTCATCTGCCAACAACTCATTGCTCAACAAGCACAGTTCCCCTTGGTCTGCAGGAGTCTAATTCTACTTGTTTTAAAGCTGTCAATGTTTAGTTAAATTCAGGTAACGTAATGACAGATCTCAGTTTTACAGTGAGGGGAGAAATCATTATGTTTAAGAAAATAAATAAGCTCTATTACATTCAGTTGAAAAACTAATGTGGATCATTCCACCATACAGTTCAGTACTTATTGTCCTTATGTTATTAATCATTCCATTTATCCTAGAAAATGACTTTAATTCAAAACTGAGAAAGCTCAGTGGGCTCCTTGGTATCAGCACACAGGCCTCCTGCTGCACACCCTCCAGGGCTTGGCACCCAGGGCTGCTTCCGAGCCTTTTAGCATTAGATTCCTGTGTAGCAGATGAAAGTTTCTTACCAGATTGAGATGTTAGGACTGCACCCTTTTACTTCAGCCTTATTACCGTCTCTTAAAAATAAGACCCATTGGCCTAATTATTAAATTTGAAAGCAGGCGGTTATGGAAGCTCTAGGTGAAAAGAGAAATGGCATGAATTCATAAAGCCCTGGGAAACTCCCCAAAGCTGCCTCATTGCCTTGCAGCCTGGACTGAGACAGCTGTGCACAGCAAGCCCAGAAGTGGAATCACTCCTGACACACCTCAGACTGAGAAACACTGGCTCGCAGGCAACACGCTTACCCGATGACCAGAACACGAGCCTGGCAGCCTGTGGGATGAGTGAGCTCCGTGCACTGAGGAGCCTGCGTTCCTGTGCCCCAGTCACCTGACTCCCCGGAGCCCTCTCCTCACCTGGAAATGGAGGGACTGGATGTAGGGTCCGGAGCCCGTTCCCACACTCAGGGCCCAAACACGGACTGGCGGTTCCTGGGCAGATCCTGCACAGGGTGAGGGTGTTAAGTCCGGCACTGAAACATTCACGTTGCTGTTAGGATTAGACCCTCCTCCAGCCTCTTACCCTTTCTGTCCCGTTTCCCAACCCGTGTGTGGCCATATAAACCAGGAAGTAGAAGAACCTGCCAGTGGGCTGCCGCTGTGGGAAAGGGACCAGCAGCTCTTTCCTCCTGGTGCTACGAGAGGGCCTCTCTGAACCAGCGCGCAGGTAACCGTGAGATCCTCTCAACCATCTGTGCCAACGTGTGTGAGACTGGAATCCAGATGTCAAATAAAAATGTTTAATGTGCGCGTGTGTGGTCAGTATTAAAGAAAACAATCTTCCTCAACTACTTCATTATCACCAACCTCTCACCTCAGTGCTTCTACATTTTAAAAAAGATTTCCTCAAAGGATGATTAGTAAGGGCAATACTTCACTCATCTGATTTCAGAGAACAACCAGAATTATTATTAATACATTCTCTAACCTCTTTCCCTGGGAGTTCCTTTCCAGATCCCCTGTGCCAGGTGTTTACCTGTGACCCCCCCTATAAAGTAGGATTAGGCATGGACCTGTGTACCCTATAGGACTGAGAAAGGAAGGACAGGTAGATTGCTTTTCAAGAGCTTTCTAAGCTGGAGGGGAAGGAAGAGAGAAGGCCCTGTCAGAGTAGAGGAACTGGAGGAAGCTGGAGGAGGAAGAGCGTGGCCAGCGAGGGAGGGCCCACGGAGCTCACACCCAGTGCTGCAGGGAGAGCCACCGCTAGGTCCTTCCATTCTTCTCAGCACAAACGCAGAGCCCAGAGCTCCTGTCCACACACCACCAAGCTCCCCCCTCACCACACAGACAAATGCACAGCCGCCGGGGAAGGTGGGCCAGCACCGGCTCCTTCAGTTCATTTAACTCGGAACCTCCAGCAGAAAAGCTTACCCAAGACTCCACACCACACCTGCACCAATGGAAACTGGAAAGCAGTGAGTGCCGGGTCAAGTGGGGGCATTCCCAGCACCTGTTGTCACTTTACTGCACATGTCGGGGCTCAGCCGCTATGTATTCATTACTAGGAATGTGTTCACAGCATGTAAAATAAATATGTCCATTGTTTTAAGATTTTACCACAAAAGAATGCATGTGCTATTTAATCTGAAAATCTTACCAGTGTTAAGTGGACATTTAGCTAAAGGAATACAGTTTACTGTATTAGCACTAATGGAGGCAGCACTGAGACTTCCCCACACCACCACCCGCTGTGACGCCCATTCCCCCCTACACCGCCCCCCCATGGAAGGCAGAGGGCCCCCTCCCCATTCCTGCCAGATTCCTGAAGAATGAGGCATTTGACCCCTTCCATTCCTAAATCTACTTAAGTGCCATTTTCTGCTACCTGACTACATCATTTAAAGATGTTGATTTTCAATCCTCACCTGAGAATGTGTTTATTGATTTTTAGAGAGGATGGAAAAGAGAGAAAAAGAAACATCAATCAGTTGCCTCCCATATGTACCCCAACCAGGGATCGAACCTGCACCCTAGGAATGTGCCCTGACCAGGAATCAAACACGCCACCACTTGGCGTACGGATGACCCGCCAACCAACTGAGCCACACTGGCCAGAGCTCCACTGCTTGCTTTTACACTAACACGGAGCCTGCAGGTGAGATCTCAGGTCACTGGGGAACCTGCCAGGCCTCTCCGGCTGCCCCTCTGCCCGCACACCTGTCCAGTTCGGGTCCTGACCTCCCGATTACGGCCTTAAAAGAAATTGGACGCTGGGCCCTGCTTGGAAAACCACTGGGTTCCTTGGCCCCTTTGGTTTCAGTCTTCTTCACACAGGTCAGATTTATAACTTATAAACCTAGAGATGGTCTCCCCAGAATGGCCCTAAGTTACCTCAATCTCCGATTAGTGACAGCTCTTCTCTTCCAGCAGCTGGGAATCCGCAGGTGATCCGAGGTGGAATAAGGCATCTGTGTGGTAGGGAACTGGGAGTGGACCCCAGCCCCAGCTGTAGGTCGTGCAGAGTAATACAGGGGTGGGCAAACATAGCTTTACAGGTGTGAGTTCACGAAACAGTTTATTCTCATATTGTTAGTTATTAATTATTAGTTTCCATACAAACAACCATAACCCTACTCTTGCCCACCAGCTCTGTATGTCTGCATTCCTTAACTCCTGCTAAGCAGACAGCAGTTTTCTCTGAGAACTAGGGCCATTTCAGGACATACAGAGGATCACTCGGCAAGGAGGCGGCGGCTGAGACAGCCTGGGCCGTCACAAGCTAGTGGCTGGAGCTACGCTTCTAACGTGTGCAGTGCCTCCGTGACAGACCTTGCTTATGCTGCTGCTCAGGTTCATGCTTCCCAAAGACTCACCTGAACGAGCAAAGCAAAGTGCACATGGACCTGACGTGACTGAGAAGGAGGGTCTGGGCCACGTCAGTGACGGGAGAAACCGTCCTCTCCAGAGTGCGCCTGTCAAACTATTCACCATGGCCCACCAGGAACACTCACAGTGCCCTAATAGTCTTATTCTAAATTGAAGAACAAGAACTCTATTCTATAGTGAGAAAACCCACCAAGGGGTGGAATAAAAATGCATAAAAGCACATTTTTAAAAAATGTGTGTGTGCAAGAGTTCTGCCTTGAGCATATACGTCTTTCCTATATTCAGGACAATATGAGTATAATTTACCACTTCAGCATTTAATAATGATAGTTTGTATACTATATGTGTGCTAAGAGGACTAGCCTACTTGGGACTATAAAATCAGTTTAGCCTCACTGGGGAAGGGGGCCACTAGTTTATTATGTTGAATCTATGGCATCCTATTCAGAATAAAATAAATGATCCTTATGCCTGGGCAAGATCAAATCTGAAAGCACAAGGCCACCCCATTCCCAGGGAGTCAATACATAGGAAATGGAAAATTCCTTGAACATACAAGTTAGTCCTTCCTTGCCCACAGCAGATTTCACTTATTAATCATAGTTTTCTTTTCTGATGAGCCCCTTCTCACAACACTCCTCCAGGCAGCCAGGATCAATGATTCTCCATTGGCGTGGCACCCCTGGAGGCTCGGAGCTGGTGCATGATGTCACCACTGGCCATACAGCAGCTCCCTGAGAAGGAGGTCATGGCAACATCATTCCTCACAGGTAATGGAGAGTTGAACACATCATCCTTCCTCACAGGTAATGGAGGGGTGAACAGGTCCAAGGACTTGTGCCCTATGGCCAGAGAGAAACAAATGCCTCCCTGCAAAACCTGAGCAGGGCCCCAAGGTCGCCCACAGCTGAGAAATAAGAAATTTCTAATAGACTCACAGCCGTCCCTGAGAACCAGGAAATCAAAGACATATAATACTCTGTTCGCCCAAGTGCTGAAAAGCATTTTTAACTGACAATAAAAGGAACTGATAAAAGATTAAAAATCATATCGTAAGTATGTATTTCTTTTAAAGACTAGTGAATGTTTAATAGGTAGTTATATTCTCAGACAATAAATATGGGAAATTATGGGTACAAAATTCGGTGGGAACTGAGCCAAGTCTGGATGGCAGAATTCATATTGTTTTAGTTGCTTAACATTATCAATTCTCTGTAAGAATGTAAACCCCTGGGGAGCATGAACGTTATGTCCCTCACTATCTGCTGCTTCCTCTGTCTGCAGCGGCTCTGCAGGCGGTACCTGTGGTGCCACTGTACCACTGGCAGTGACCAACCTCCCACGTGTGCCCAGGCCCCGGAATACACTGCATCACTCCCTAGTCCCTGAAAACTTACTCGTTTCCTTGCTTGATTCCTAACCAGGCAAGATTTGAGAAGAGATGCTAAAGCTCCCCCTGGACAGGTCCCTCGGTCCTAAAGACAAGGCTGTAATTCTCGACTGGAGAGTCCTGGTTCTACCGCTCACTCACGCACATCTGACAGAGGAAGTCACTGCACGGTCCCAGGGCTGGGCTTACAGACGTCACCCAGGCTCACATGGCTAGCCACACCCTCGTCACAAAGAAGAGAAGAGCACAGGCTGAGGCACTGGGAGCTGCTCGAAGGGGACAGACAAGGAAAAGCGGAGGCCGCGCGGCAGGCACTGGCAGGGTTGGAAGGTCAGCATGGACTGCAAGAGGCAAGGTTGGAAGCAACGGGAAGAGCACGTTTGGCCCCACTTGCAGGGGAAATAGAAAATAGGGGGTTACACAGACATTTTCCGGAGTTGGAAAGCTTGTAGCTGGAGCTATTTCCAGCTTTGGGGGTTCAAGGAGTGACCTTGGCCATCATGAGTTGATGTAGACTACAGACAAAAATACATGCTATTTTTAAACACTTGGAAACCATGGCATTCCATTCTGATATTTCCTTTGTTTTACATCTACTTGTTCCACAAATGAAACCTTTAACATGCACATAAAATTAGCCTGAGGAATCTAAAACCACAAATAGATATGCTATCTCCAACTGAATTACCCACGTAAACCTCTTTACCTGTTACTTTACCCTTTATAATACCCTTCATAATAACACTATAATCTAACTTTTTAAAAAAATGAATGCCACAAAATAATTAGTTTTTATTGGAAAACAAACCTCTCTTTTCCAAAAAATCTTGTCTTCATATTACTTTTATTAACACACATGCTCAGCACATATTTGTACAATGCATAAAGCAGCTTTCTATGTAATATTAAGATATTCTGCTCACCTGTCCCTTAAATTCCTACACTTGAGCCCCACTGCAAACTGCTGGATAACCCCAATATTATTGGCTATAAAATTTGAAAAATAGTCTCAAAAATAGGGTGGCTTTCAATACACTGGCTATGGAACCAAATATGTGAAGGACACAGAGCAAGGGCTTTCTCAGAATAACAGAGGTTTCACTGTTTTGTGCTCTAGGAAATACTAAGTGTCCGTCAATTCTCTCTCTACTATGCCAATTTTGTTAATTTAAGAAATACTTTTCACTTTACCTTTCATTCCCTATTCAGGAAAAAAAATTTCCTAGGTCCCAAAGGTTTACACATTCTGCCCTTTTATTGGCACTTCTTAAAATTCAGGGGAGCCTCCGTGAATAATGGGGTGAGGAGAAGTGGTGCAGAGTTGTTGGGATCGCTTTTAGTCAGTGAATTATGCATATTTTAAAGTTGACCTTTTAATCCAAGTTTTTATTCAATACCATAGCAAGGAATCCAGCAACATGGTCAGTCAAACATTTGTATGCCAATGGCATTGAAGAATGAGTTTCATGAGGAAAAAAAATAGATAATAAAGAAGCCAATATATTCTCTTTAAGGCTAAATGGAGGTTGAAGAGAGATTTATTTTTAGGTAGAAAGTAAGTTGTCCACAAAAAGAAAAAAATTGTCCTAAGTTTTAAGAAGTGGATATTCATATCATTTTTGTAATTTCTCCTCTAGATGAGATATTGCTAGTAATTGTGTATCTATAGAAATGCAAATGCAAACCTAGTGTTAGTCACACTGACACTATTGCTTTTCATTCCTGTTTCCAGGAAGAAATCATTTTCCAAGTTGCCGTAGGCTTAACCTTTCTCTTGGGTAGATGTGCAATTTATCAGAATCTCCAAAGCATAAAAATTAAGTAAATATACATCGAAGGGGATAGGATGGCCCAGCGGCATGGCTCAGTGATTGAGCATCAATGCAGGAACCAAGACGTCATGGTTTTATTCCAGTCAGGGCACATGCCTGGGCTGCTGGCTAGATCCCCAGTAGGTTCGTGCAGGAGACAGCCAATGGATGATGTTCCTCTCTCATTGCTGTTTCTATGTCTCTACCCCTCTCCCTTCCTCTCTTTCTAAATATCAATGAAAACATTAAAAAAAAAATGGGGGCCGGGGGATAGGATGAATGGATTGACAACAAAGAATTAGGAGTTAGAAAAAGCCCTGAGTTCCAGAATTTCCTACTTATTCATATTCTAGCCTCCTCAAAACATTCCCTATACCAGGTCCTGTTGTAGACTCTATGGGAGGCACATTTCATCCATGTGTAAAAAAGAATCACTTGACATGTTTGCCATCCAGAGCCACAAAACGGACTCCCTCACTCTCAAACCTCAAGCTCACTGGGGTTCACCTAGGTTGAACAGACACTTGTGGGATCTGGCCCCTAAATTAATCCCCAAAATTCTGTGTTGAGTAACTCCCCAGGAAAGCCAACATTTTATACCTACCTGAAGTTTGAGGGAGGAGATACATGCTGTTTTTGAGACGTGTGCGGCTGAGCTAAAATCATCAGAAGCTTAGTTAGCTTTGTATTTTTTTTGCAAATGTATTCTTATGGCCCCATTGAAAATGTAATGCTATTGCATCTGTTGTCGGGTTTCTAGTGTGAAGATGTATGGCTGGTGATGTGTGCAAGGACGCAGATGAAAGAACAGAGGGGACAATAGCTTCCCTGGCTGGAGGAGAGTTCAAAGTCCCAGACAGAAGGCCGACCCTGTGCTGTCCCACTACCACCACTGGCTAACCTGCCCCTGTCCCTGGCTGTATTGGTCACAATGGCCAGAACATGGAAGCAGCCTAAGTGTCCACTGACGAATGAATGTACAGACGATGTTTATGTACATCTACATATATGCACAATGGAATACCACTCAACAATAAAAAAGACAGAATACTGCCATTTGTAACAAGAGGGTGTTAATGCTAAGTGAAGTAAGTTAGACAGAAAAGAACAAAAAAAGTATAATTTCACTCACCAAACTCATAGATACAGGCAACAGAGTCTCAAGGGCACTAGTAAATAGGAGTGCACAGGCAGACGGGCCCAGGAAGACAGATGGACAGAGTGGCGAAGATGGACACACGTACAACAGGACGTCCCAGCGTGGAGATCCCCACTTTCTGATTCCCTCTGCATTATTTCAGGCATTAAGATAGTATTTATTTTCTTATTCCAAAACCCATTTTTTTTCATAAACAAAATCTAAGCTTATTCAATCATGTATTCATTCAACAAACATTACTGACAAATCTGTCCTGACTCTGGACTTCCAGTCAAGGTGACAGAGTACGTAATACCATGCTCACCTCCTCCCACAACCACGTCAAAATCACAACTATATTACAGAACCACCACCTGAAGATTAGCTAAGCAGAAGTCCTATAACTAAGGTTGTAAAGCAGCAGCCACATGGAGACTGGTAGGAGGGCCTGAGAGATGGGTCAGGCACGTCCCTCACCCTCAGTGTAGGGGTTAGGAAATGGGGGATATTTTGGCTTGAGAGGTACCCACTGAGGAACAAGGGGTCCCAGCCCAGGGCACCAGTGCCAGGAAGTGGAGTCCCCATAATATCTGCTGTGGTTATGGCTGATTGAGACAGAGGCTGCTGGAGACCTAGGGATTACAGATCTTAATCTGTACACAAGCTCGCCCACAAATTCCCTCCCTCTAAGCTCCAGGGAGGGGTAGCAGCTTGAAAACAGGGACATATGGGGAGGAACTAAATTGACTAACTTCAGAGCGAGGGCTGGAGGGACGGGAGTCAGGGCAGTTCTCTCCCAGGGACAGCAATGCTGGGAGGTCTGAAACTCTCCCAGTGGCTTTCCCACATAGGCAAACTTGCCTAAAATCTCTCAAAGTTCCCCCAAAATCAGTGACAGCCTTGGTGTGCCCTGTGCCTCTTGTTGAGTGGCCCCGAGCCTAGCACTAGTGGCAGCCAGCCTATGCTCTAAGCCTAGTCCCTCCCAGTGCCTCCAAGCCTAGCACAGGCAGCAACCAACCACAGGTCACTTTGCAGCTCCTACCAGGCAGCTCCAGGCCGGGCACAGGCAATGGCTGGCCTTGGCCTGCACCAGAACCCGTCCCCAGAGGTCCCACAATCAACATACCCAGGGGTTGGTTTCAGACCACACCAGAGCATCACCCAATTAGATCCACAAAAGACACACCAAAAGGATATGTCTCATTGGGCAAGGGAAACAAAGAGAAAAATAAACAATGGGATTACATCAAACAAAGTGTTTGTACAAAAAAGAAAACCATTGACAAAACAAAAGGACAACCTACTGAATGGAAGAAGATACTTGCCAATAATACATCCAATAAGGGCTAATGTCAAAAATATATAAAGATCTCACACATATAACTTAACACCAAATAAACAAGTATCTGAATAGGCATAGGACCTGAATAGACATATAGATGGCCAAGAGACACATGAAAGGATGCACAAGGTCACTAATCATCAGAGATACAAATTAAAACCACAAGGAGGTATCACCTCACACTTGTGGGAATGGCTATCATCAATAAATCAACAAATGACAAGTGCTGGAGAAAATGTGGAGAAAAAAGAACCCTTATGCACATTTGGTGGGATTGCAAATCAGTGCAGCCACCATGGTAAACAGTATGGAGAGTCTTCAAAAAATTAAAAGTAGAACTACCTTATGATCCAGCAATTCCACCTCTGGGATTTATCTGAAGAAATCCAAGACATTAATTCAAATATATACCCTTATGTTTCTTAAAGCATCTATACTAATAAAAGGATAATATGCTAATTAGACTGGGAGACCGGACATCTTCCGACCATCAAACTTCCTTCTGGACAAAGCCACGGTGGTGGGGGCCGAGGCAGAGGCAGTTAGGGGCAATCAGGCCAGCAGGGGAGGGCAGTTGGGGGCCATGAGGCTGGCAGGAGAGGGCAGTTGGGTTCCATCAGGCTGGCAGGGGAGCAGTTAGGTGGCGATCAAGCTGGTAGGCAGGCAAGTGATTAGGAGCCAACAGTCCCTGTGGGATGGGGCCTAAACCGGCAGTTGGACATCCCCCGAAGGGTCGCAGATTGGAGAGGGTGCAGGCCAGGCTGAGGGACACCCCGTGCATGAATTTCATGCACTGGGCCTCTATTTATAATAGCTAAACTATGGAAGCAATCCAAGTGCCCATCAATAGATGAGTGGATAAAAAAGCTGTGGTATAATATAGACCAATGGAATAGAATAGGGAACCCAGAAATTGACCTAAACCACTATGCTCAATTAATATTTGACAAAGGAGGCAAGAACATACAATGGAGTCCAGCCAGTCTCTCAATAAATGGTGCTAGGAAAATCAGACAGATACATGCAAAAAATTGAAACTAGACCACAAACTTACACCATACACAAAAATAAACTCAAAATGGATAAAGGACTTAAATGTAAGATGGGAAACCATAAAAATCTTAGAGGAATCCTCAGGCAGCAAAATCTCAGACATAAACCAAAGCAATATCTTCACTGATACAGCTCCTAGGGCAATGGAAACTAAAGAGAAAATAAACAAATGGGACTACATCAAAATACAAAGCTTCTGCACAGCAAAAGAAACCATCAGCAAAACAACAAGAAAGTCCACTGCATGGGAGAACATATTTGCCAATGTTATCACTGATAAAGGTTTAATCTCCAACATTTATAGGGAATTCATACAACTTAACAAAAGGAAGATAAACAATCCAATCAAAAAATGGGCAACGGACCTAAATAGACACTTTTCAAAAGAGGACATAAGGATGGCCAAGAGACATATGAAAACATGCTCAAAGTCACTAATCATCCGAGAGATGCAAATCAAAACGACAATGAGGTACCATCTCACACCTGTCAGAATGGCTATCATCAACAAATCAACAAATGACAAGTGCTGGCGAGGATGCGGAGAAAAAGGAACCCTCATGCACTGCTGGTGGGAATGCAGACTGGTGCAGTCACTATGGAGAACAGTATGGAGTTTCCTCAAAAAACTAAAAATGGAACTCCCATTTAACCCAGTGATCCCACTTCTAGGAATATATCCCAAGAAACTAGAAACACCAATCAGAAAGGATATATGAACCCCTATGTTCATAGCAGCACAATTTACCGTAGCTAAGATTTGGAAACAGCCTAAGTGCCAATCAGCAGATGAGTGGATTAAAAAACTGTGGTTCATGTACACAATGGAATACTACACTGCGGTAAAAAAGGAACTTTTACCATTTGCAACAGCATGGATGGAACTGGAGAGCATTATGCTAAGCGAAATAAGCCAGTCAGAGAAAGATAAATATCACATGATCTCACTCATTTTGTGGAATATAATGAACAACATAAACTGATGAACAAAAACAGATCCAGAGACAGAGAAGCTTCGATCAGACGTCAAACCTTAGAGGGAAAGTAGAGGAGGGTGAGGGTAATGGGGAGAGATCAACCAAAGGATTTGTATGCATGCATATAAGCCTAACCAATGGACACAGACAACAGGGGGGTGAGGGCATGAGTGTGTGTGGGGGGGGGGGGGGCAATGGGGGATAAGGACACATGTGTAATACCTTAATCAATAAAGAAAAAAATAAAAATAGAACTACCATATGATCCAGCAATCTTACTTCTGTGTATATATCTAAAGAAATAAAAACAGGATATTTTTTTTAAAAGCTGTGGTACAGTTACACAATGGAATATTACTTGGCCATAAAAAGGAAAAAATCTTACCTTTTGTAACAGCATGGGTGGACCTAACTGAAATAGTCAGACAAAGACAAATGCCATATGATTTCACTTATATGGAATCTAAGGAACAAAATAAACAAAACAGAAACAAACTAATAGATACAGAGGACAAATTGATGGTTGCTAAATGGGAAGAAGGTTGGGTGATGGGGGGAAAGAGGAAGGTATACAAATTGCCAGTAACAACAGCAGTCACAGACATGGAAAGCAGAGCATAGGAAATGTAGTCAATAATACTGTGATAACTATCAGATGGGTGTTAAACTATCGAGGGGGTCACTTTGTAAGTTATATAAATGTGTAACTGCTAGGCTGTGCATCTGAAACCAATATATCATTGTATGTACTGTAACTGAGAAATAAAAAATTTAAGAAAACATTATTGAGCATCTCCTCCTTAAGTTACATTTTAGTCATTATAATCATACTCTTGCTAATACCCTCTTGCTGTGCTCCACAGGCAAAGCCAAAACCCTGTTTAAATGCAACCTCCACCTCTTCTCCCCCGAAAATAGCTGGTGAGCACCAACCGTGATGACTGTTCTTTAAGTGGGCCCTTACCAATGCCTGGCGATCATACTACGTCTCCATAATCCATTCACCCCTACATCATATGTGTCTTCCCCCTGCATCCTCCTCCTTGGTATTAGAAAAAGATGCTACCTTAAACAAACCTTCTTCTATTGACCCCAGTTCACCGAATAGCTACCACCTCATTTCTCTATTCTCCTTTGTAGTAAACTCCTTTCAAAAGTTTTCCAAGTAAGTGCACATTTTCCCAGTTCCCCTCCTCCCGTTTCTCTCTGGAACCCACTGTGATGCCTCGGTCCCACCACTTACCAAGCCACTGTCTCTCAGGCACCAGTGGCCCCCATGTGGCTAAAGCCAGTGGTGATGCCTCGGTGGATTTGACCCATCAGGAAATCTCACACTCTGAGCACGTTCTTCCCCTGATGTCAGGACGTCACACTGTCCTGGTTTTACTCTGACCCCACTGGTCACCCCTCGTCTCTGTCCTTCACTGGTTCCCCTACTGTTCCTCCAGCCTGTCACGTGGACTGCTCCTGCCTCAGTCCTCACTCTTCTCATTGTGTCTGCCCACACTCAGCGATCTCCTCTGTGGCCTCAGACGTCTGCATGGAAACTCTGTCGGATGTCTCCGTGGCCTGTGCGCCCTGGTGTCTAACGGATTTGTCTCACTCAGTGTGGCCACCCCCAGCCCCGCGCTGTTCTCCCCAAAGCCTGCTCCATCTGTGACCTTCCATCTCGATGACAGCAAGGCACTGCTCCAGCTATCCAGGCCCTGTCTCCTCTTTCTCTCCTTATTTCTAGATTCTAGATGTATTTAGCATCCAACCACTTTTCACCATCTCTGCCATTGAGGCCCCTGCTCCCAGCCACTGCTGTCTCCCATCTGAATCACTGCAATCACCCAAATGGCCCATCCTTCTGACTGTCCTTCTTCCCCAGCATGGCCGCCACGTCCCACTACATAATCCCTTTACTTAAAACCCTGCAGTGCTTAGGAAAAAAGCCAACGTCCTTACATGGACCAGAACGCCCAGATGGCCTGGCCACGCCACCCACAACCTCTCTCGCATTATCTCTCCAGCTGCTCACGCTGCTCAAGCCCCACAGGCCTCCGTGCTGTGCCGCAGACACACCTGCTGCCTCAGGGCCTTTGCTTGGCTATTTTCTGCCTGGAAACTCCTCCCCAGATACCCTGCCGGCTGGTGTCCTCATCATTTTCAAATCATTTCCCAAATCTCACCTTCCCAACAAGGCCTTCCTGAAAGATGCTACTTAATAAGGAAACAGGCCCAACTACCCCGATCTACCGCACCCGTTCCTGGGACTCTCAACCCCTTACTTTGCTTTAATTTCTTTTTTCAAAGAATGTATCACCTCCCATACCGTATGATGTACTTTTTAGTAGGCAATCTCCACAAGGGCAGGGATTTTTGCTTTATTCACGGATGTATCCCAAGCCCCTGGCACATCGTCTGTTGCATCGTGAACTCGGCCATCCGACACTGGCTTATTGAGATTTATCTGCGCCAGGCACTGGGAACTGAGCCCGGGATGAGACAAATCTAGCAGCTGTCCCCTTGGAGCTTACAGTCTAATTCTTATTGAGATTTCCCGGAGACAACCGATTTTGGGAATATTTAAAAGAAAGTGGGAAGGCATCCAGGGAAATTCCATCAGCCTCTCTTCAGAGCACAGCTCCAGCCAAACCTTCAAACTCTGATGAATGAAATTGACACTGTGACCATGTGACTGGGGCTGCAGGCTTCCTTGCTGTCCCCCACAATAAGGAGGCGACAATCACAGCCCCAAGTTCCTCAGTCCAGGATGTAAAAAAGAATCCCCCCTAATGATACAAAATATAATTAACGAGCAAAATAAATCACGGAAGGCACTGTGGAATTCTAATCTTTCCACACTCCTCTCCAAAAAAAAAGACACAATCAAAGTGAAATATGCCCATTTAAAAACCCCCTCACATGGTAATCAAATCTTAGCCAATCATTCGCCAACTGAAACCCTTCCATGCCCATTTTTTCTGCAGTTCTGGCAGTAAATTGATAACCCCGGGCAAATTTTACTAGTAATTAGCACCCTTTAGAAATAGTTGGCTAACTTAGTCAACTAGGAAATAACCTCACCCAAATGATTAAGTCCAAATTGCATCTCAAATCCATCACCCGTTTTTACCGTGTGAACAGACCATCACTCCAGGATTGTCAGTTACAACAGTTACAGGCCTATGTTTTAACACACGCACAGCACAGGGCACAGCAAATACGCCAGCTGGCTCATCTCCACACCACCACTCCAGGTGACCTGCCAGCCACTGGGTGTGGACACATATCCCCAAGTAGCTCTGGCCCCGTCCTTCACCCAGTGGAGAGGGTATCCAATGGAAAGCCTCCTTATTCCAGGTGAGTCACCTGTGTGCTCAACGTGAGGCAAGCCAGGGCCTGCTTTGGGAAGAACTAGCTGGTGGCTGTGCATGATTGGCCTGACAGCTGTGCTGATCACAGAAGACTCCCTTTCTCACACCCTTCACTCCAAAATAGCATTTCTGAAGCATCTATTATTTAACAAGTGTGTTCATTTATCCTATTTAATTTAAAAATAAGACTGAGAATGGGGTAATTTTAACTCCAACACATGGATGAGAAAATGGAGCAGCAGGAGGCTTAGAGCACTCACCCAGAGCCAGAGCCAAGGCCACGGCCAGAGGTAGGGCCAGGGCCAGGGCCAGCACAGGTTCTCCGGTTGCCTGCCTGCCAGTCACCTGCCACCAGCTGGGCCACTGCCAGCTTCCACCTCCATTCCCCCATCTTCTCCCTTGCTCAAGCTTTGTCTCCCTCCTCTACCATTGCAGTGAGAGTGATCTTAAAATGCAAACCTGCTTGCTCAACTTCTGTGCGTGGCTTACACGGCACCCAGGCTGAGGTCCCACATCATCCTGCAAGACCATCTGTCCTCTGTCTCCCTCTCCCATCTGCTCACCATCCCCAGCCACATGACATCTTCCAGTTCTCAACTGAATGTGCTCTCTCAAGGCCTACCCACAAGATACCTCCTCTGCCTTCGACCCCGCCCCTGCCCCTTCCACTAGGCTTGTCACTGGTCTTACAGGCAGCCACTAGGGAAGCCAGATCCCAGGCACTTCACTGAGGTCTTCCTTGGCCTCTCCCAGGAGAGGGAAGCACTGGTGCCCATGCCGGACTTGACTAGACTCAAAGAACCCGGCCTTCACCCTGGGTGAGACAGGTGGACATGGTTTTAGGTGAGTGGACTCTTCTGGACCAAGTAGCCAGTAGTCTGGTTAAAGGGGGACAAGGAAATCTGGGAAGGAGTATCAATTTGATCCAATATGTTATGATATTAATCATTCTACAATATCAAGGTACCTTTCTTATATCCTAGACTAGTGGCCCAGTGCACAGATTCATGCACATTGAAAGGAAATTAATTAGAAGAAATATTTTAATATTGCTATTTGCCCTTTCTCTATAATAGAAGTGTCAACCAAATTCACCATCGACAATGACAGATGGAAACACACGCATGTTATTGGTGCTAGTGAGAGCTTTATATGTATCACGCATGCGCGAGTCAACTTAGCCTTTTATATATATAGAATAAACTTGCTTTCTGATCTGGCTAAACTTTTTCCACCCCAGTGAAGCACCTCAACTTCTCTTTCAGGTAATTGTCAGCAACACAGCAGTAAATATCAACACAAAGCAGGTTATTATTGTAGATCACGCAGCGAGAACAAAGTGTAAAATATTTAACTGCAGCAGTGTTTGACTATATTCTGTGCAGTGAGAAAACCTGAAGTCATTTTCAAGGTCCACCATTTCTCTCTCATCATTGATGTTTCTCTCTCCCTCCTCTCTGAAGTTAATAAAAATATATTTTTAAAAATAGAACTGCATCAAACTAAAAAGTTTTTGCACAGCAAAGGAAATCATCAACCAAATGAAAAGACAACCTACTAACTAGGGGGGGCGGGGGGTGTTGCCAATGATACATCTGATATGAGGTTATAATCCAAATTTTATAAAGGAATCACACAACCCAACACCAAAAATACAAAGCAACTGAATAATGGACAGAGTACCTGAATAGACAATTCTCCAATAGACATATGAAAAGATGCTCAGCATCACTAATCAGATAAATGCAAATTAAAACCACAATGAGATATCACTGCATACCTGTCAGAATTTTTAAAAAATTAAAAAAAAAACACAAGTGTTGATTAGGATGTGCAGAAAAGGGAACTCTCGCGCACTGTTGGTAGGACTGCAAATCAGTGAAGCTACCATGGAAAACAGTATAGAGGTTCTTAAAAAAATTAAAAAGAGAACTACCCATGGCCCAGCAATTCCACTTCTGGGCATTTATCTAAAAAAAACCTGAAACCCTAACTCAAAAAGATAAGTGCACCCCTATGTTCACTGCAGGGTTATTTATGGTAGCGAAGATATGGAAGCAACCCAAGGGCCCATCAATAGACAAGTAGATGGAAAAGCAGTGTTACATATATACAATGGAATACGCCTCAACCATAAAAAAGAAATTTTACCATTTTTTAACAGCATGGGTAGACCTAGAGAGTATTATGCTAAGTGAAATAAATCAGACAAAGAAAGACAAATACCATATGATTTCACTTATATGTGGAATCTAAAGAACAAACAAAAAAACAGACTCATAGATACAGAGAACATTTTGACAGCTGCCATATGGGAGGGGGGTTGGATAAAAAAGGTGAAAGGTTTAAGAAGTACAAATTGGTAGTCACAAAATTGTCACAGGGATGTAAATACAGCCTAGGGAATAGAGTCAATACTACTGTAATAACTACGTGTCATGCCAGGTGGGTACCAGAATTACTGGGGGGTCACTTTATAAATTATATGACTGTCTAACCACTATGCATACACCTGAAATTATTCTAAAATAGTACTGAATGTCAACTGCAACTGAAAAATAAAAATAAATGGAGAAATTTTTCTCACCTTAGATTTTTTTAAATAAAATAAAGTAAGAAAAAATTGTTCTCCAGAGCTCTGTACACCTTGCACAACCTCAGAACTGGAAAGAAACCTACAAGACGCGGACTTCGCTTGAGGCTATTTGCTTAGTGAGCAATCCTATGCGCAGATAGACAGGACGCCAATACCTACCCTGAACTCCACACACACCACAAGCACAGCTATATTCATGTGCGTCTGTACGTCCCCTAAGCAACCAAACTGTTTCAGAATATTTTACCAGGCATCCGAAGGTACAGTTAGTTGACTCAGGGCGCGTGCATCTCTTATTTAATATTGATTTGTATCTGTTGGAAAATTTGCTCCACTAGGTGGCAGCCAAGACTTACTCAAATACAGTGTGTGGCTGTCACTGCTCAGATCCAGGAGCAGTAAATAGCTTTAAGATCAAATTGCATGTGGACATGCCTGTCTCTAGTCACTTGGGGTTGACCCATGGAAACGGCATTCCCTGGAAGAAGTTCGATATCGACAGTGCAAATGATAATAGTATGTGATGGCTCCTTCCAAACCAGGTATGACATGCTACCACTGACAAAGCAAAGCTGCAAGAAGACAATCTCACCGTGGCTTCTCCACTGAGGATGGTCTACGGTGTGTGCAATACAGCCTGTTCTCCCGCCCTGGGTCGGAGCGCCCATCATCACTACTGCGGGCTCAGCACTTGCAGGCTCCACGGTGCTCAAGACCAACCCTCCTCCCTGGAGCACTGAGCTGGCCACCCCAGCACCACTGTGGCAGCTCTGCCTGCCACTCACTTCCTCACATTATAGGCATCGAGGTCCATTTCCTCCCACACTGTCGTCTTTCAAGGCAGAAACTACATTGTTTGTCTGTTTCCCTTTCTGCTTCTCGTGTTTGTTCCCTATGTGTTTCTTCAGTATCTCCTCTCACTTTTATTACAACTCCTTTATCTGTCTAACTCCATGTCGTTTTTTTCTTTCTCTTTTTTTTTTTTTTTTTTTGAGAGGACTTCCCTGATGCCCCAGACCCTCCCTTTTTGCTTAAATTTGCAAGAATTATTTTGTTTTTGTTGTTGAATGCAACCTAGAACCCTGCCTGGTGTCGACAAGGACAATATCCCTTCAGTGCACAGCAGCATGTCTAAGATATAGATGCACCGATTCATAAGGAGGAGTGAATATTAAATTTTAGACATAGGAACGGAACAAATGCCCAGACGGTAGCATTTGAGACGTCTAGTGCCGGGCTTCCCTATTTGCTCTTTGCTACATAAGGAGGATGGGATGCCAACACCACCCCACCACTCTTTGGGCCCCGTCCTCCCTATTCTCAGGGAAAAGTAAACTAACATTTTGGTTGAGAATAATTCAGTCTAAGAACAAGGTTTGAGGGGTCGAGTGAACTGAAGAGGCGACAACAGGAAGGAGCCTCATCTGAGCAGAAAAGGTTGCCCCTGGGCTGGGACGGGGGAGTGAGGGCAGGAGGGGACCGGGTGAGGGGACCTCTGAGAAGCTGAAGGTTCCTTTCTCCACATGGAGACCTCCCGGCTGAGGGGGGTGCAGATAGGGACACTGTCTCAGTGACGATACACAGACAGATGACAGGAAACCAGGGCGTCTCCACTCCCTCGGCCCAGGACCTTGGAGAAGCTGACACACTGGACTTGTGCGTAGCCTAGAGAGACAGTTGTTTAGCATCAAAATTAGAATAACTTAGAGAACATAGAGAAAGGTGCTACTTCTCACCTATCTGGGTGTAGGAACCTCGACCCATGGGTGCCACAATTACTAGATAGATTGGAAGCACTCAGGGTGCGTTTCTGAATTTATCAGCTTCTGCACTGCGCCACCGGCTGGATGGCTAGTCTCCTGGTTTGATGAGGGAGCAGAGGGCTTCCCTGCACAGAAGCAAGGAGGTGTGATGCTGCGCGGGTCTCGGGACAAGGCTCTCCTGGCGCCGGGTCAGGGACAGAGAGCACCCACTTCTTCAGTGGTTAGCATCCTCGTAGGCTGCGGCCCCATCTATGACGCAGAGGCCCCCAGAACAAATGGTGCTTTCTCGTCTCTGATGCTAGTGATTTTCTACAACTGGTCAAAGAATCAAAGAAATTGAGCCTCCCTGTTCAACTTCTAAATTAAAACCTCAAAAAAGTTCAAGGTGAGAGAAGACACAAAACCATATCAATATATGCTAGTAAAGTATAAGACAAAAAAGAAATTGTCTAATCCTCTTGATATTAAAAGAAACTGTCAGTGTGGCGCGGGCAGCCTTCTTGTTCTAACCCTTTGGTTACTGGAAAGAGAGGAGGTGACGAGCATTTGTTCCAGGAAGTGAATGATGAGAGAATTCTCCAAATAATTTTACGTGAATAGCTCCATGTACTAAACAAACCTTTGAAAAGGAAGATGTCTAAAGGAAATGGTAAGGGCATGGCCATACTGTATCCAAACGAGGGGATGGATGTTCACCGTAGCTCATGCCCTTTGCAGAACATCCCTGGAGCAGGGCCTGAAGGTCACTCTGACAACCACGGGCAGGTGCCTTGGAGAAGGGCTGCTGGGGGGCAGGAACAGAAGCCCAAAGAGGATTCCAGCCAGTGGTACAGCCAGCATCCATTCTGGCTGGTTAGTGCCCGTGCCTTTCCAAACATCTAACACAGTATCCCCCAGAGCAGCCACACCGAACCCAGTTTCTGGAAATGCCGCTAAATCTCAAGGGAAGCAGAAAGTAGGAAGCAATTTCCCTCTGCCTCCCTGATGCCACCACCGCAGAGATGCCGTGAGACGTTCTGTCCTCGTGATGGTGAGACGGATAGATAATGAAGCCAGGAATGGAGAAAGATGGCAACAGCGAAGACATTTGTTTGGGGGAGAAAGAGAAGGAAAGATTTGAGAGAGATCATAGAGAAAGAGTTGGCCCGAGTTCATAACAGGTGAGAACCCTCTTTCTCGAAAGAGAACAGCCATTGCCATTGTCAAAATCACCTGAGCTACCTCCTAAAGACTTAAGCTTTCTGGGCCCTACTCCAGAAGCACAAAATTGGGACTGTGGGGGAGGAGAGCAAATCCAGGGACTCTACATTTGTAACCAGTATCTCAGGTAATTTTTGAAGAAAAGGGGAGTATGAGAAGGGGAGGATGCTGTGACCAGTTTTCATCCTATGTACGTTCGGAGCACCTTGGAGCCTCCCAGAGGGAAGGCTCTGAGTGCAACTGGAAAAGGAGAGAGGTCAGAACAAGAGGCAGAGACTCAGGTGCGATCTGAATCTCCAGATAAAACACTGGCAGGTAATGACACGTGAGGGGCGTGCTGGTTGATATGTTCGACCTCTGAATACTCCCTTACTCGGTGGATCTCAGTGGGAGCAGGGTTCTACTTCTCTCAGTGGGAACCAGAAGCCAGCAACACCCTGTCTCTATTATTAGAGGTGGGATTGTGAGGCTGTTCCAAGACCAGGTCAGTCAGATGCTTCTGCTCGGGACTTTGTGTCTTAAAGGAGAAGCTCAGAGATGCAGAAAGAGTTAAGAAATGAGTCACAGCAACAGCCTCCTTAGTGTCCAGATCCCGAGCCATTTTCCAAATATGTCTTTTCAGCTCCCCCCGCACCCCCCCCCGCCACCCTGAATCATTGAGCTCATATATTTTCCAATAAATTCCCCTGCTGCCTACGTTTATAAGATTGGAGGACACTAGAGACAAAAATAGACCCATGATAAATTTCTCCAGGTACTGGAGAGAAAGCAAAATAAAGTTATGTGATGGAGACAGCATGCTTGGAGAGCGAAGGGTCAAAGGTCAAATAGAGCTTGAGCTGAGGATTCAGAAGAGCACAGGACCACAGACATGAAGAAAGGGTTGACTGAGGAAAGAAAACTGAAGTGCGAGGTCGGCCATTTCTTTTCCTGTCCTCCCAGACTGCTTTAATCACATGTCTCTCTTAAGAATTTCGCACTATATTAAAACTATGTCCCCTCAGTAGACTTGGCATATCACTAATTCAGGTTCATAAAATATGAGCTGAAGGGATGAGGTCAATTCTAAGCTAAAGCCTTTGAAAGGCCCTCACTTCTCCTGCCGGGAGGTCTGGGGAACGGGGTGTGCTTTACAGACAATGGGTCAACCAGATGGTCACCAGAGATCCCTGAGTATATGGAGCACAATGTCCCCCTGGCCAGCCAAGTAAGAGCATCACTTATTCCCCATTGCATCTCAAAGCACTCCCACAGCAGGAGGTCTGGAAACATGAGGAAGAAAAAAAAACCCAGCCTTTTTAAAAAGGGTAAAACTTGCAGAATAGTAGCTCCCCTGGGCCATGCAAACTAAGCCAGACACTGTATGGCCCTTCTTCCTTAGGATGTTGCCAAAGCAGCGCCCGGGTTCCTGCCCCAACCTCTTCCCAGCTGGCCAATTTCCCTGCCTGCTCCTTTCAAAGGCACCCTCTCCTTGCCTCCTTCCTCCCACCAGGCCCTTTAATGTCCTTTGTGTTTTAAGAAAGGCAGGAAGAGTCTTTGATTTCAAGCTGCTTTCCGCTCTGCAAAAATTCCTGAGTCGAGGGAATGTGTGAAGGCTTAATCACCTGCCTAAGAACAGGGAAAAACATAACGAACAAAGTACGAATTAATTTCAACAAGTTCTCTTGCACGGTCTCTTTCCTACCTAGTTCTAGGAGATGGTGAGTGCCACTGAGAACCAAGGACTGTCATCTGTGTTTCTCTGCAGCCTCCGCGCTGTGCTGTGCACAGACTGTGCTAATGCACATCACAATAAAATGCATTCATAGAAGGATCAATGGGGAGAGGCAGGCAGACAGAGTGGCTAGCAATCACACAGGTGGATAGAAGTTCCTAGAGAAACTAGAAGAATCAGATTTATTGTGCAGTGGGAGGGGTTATGTTTAGAGATGTGAGACCTCTCAGGCAGCAGGGAAAAGCCAGAAGGTGGAAGGAAAGCCCCGTTTCTGGTGAGAAGAGGCTATAAACAAGTATAGAAACCTCGTTCCTGACCGCACACGTGTGAGTGCTTACTGCAGTTAACCTGCTCTTGTTCTACCCTTGTGTGCTAGTTGCCTGCGCAGCAGAAAAGCCGTCTTATCTCTTAGATTTCCAGACCAAGAGGAGCCAGATTCTAACCCGATATCCTGACTATCTCACAGCACGCAGCGATGCTGTCATCGGTGCCAGATGCCTTGACCAAGCAGAACTTTTCAATTGTTTCTAGGCACTGCGAAGAAGGAAGCAAATAGATATTTGGTGACCAGGAGAGAAGGCTAAGGCAGAGACAGTGATGCTCCCCAATATTCCACTTCCTCACCCATTTCCCAGTGCCCTGGCAGTTCATTGGGGCCACATGACTAGTTCAGGCCCAGGGAATATGAGCAGAAGGGAGGAGGTCACTTCTAAGCTAAGGCCACTGTCAGACCCTCAGCTCTGCCGGAAGGTCTGGGGAACAGGGTGGGCTGTATAGACGATGGGTCACCCAGATGGTCACCAGGGGTCTCTGAGTGCATGGAGCAGGGTGCCTCCCTGGCCGGTGCTGGGCACATAGTATGAGTGACCAATACGCCCCATGACTTCAAAGCACTGAGATATGAGGATTTTTTGAGCATCACTCATCCTATTCTGCCCTGTCCTATCCACTTTGCAATCTTCCCACCCCCTTGATTGGGGCCACACTGTACACATCCTCCATGGATGGCCCTTTACGTACAAGCAGTCAATATTTAGGACCTAAAGAAGTTGTAAAACCACATTGCAGTCATCGTAAGTCACTATATACCACATGCTTTTGTCTAGAAAAATTCTTCTAGTCGCATGACGGACAGCTTCAAACTACATGTGGTAAGGAAGTTTTTGGTGGGGAAAGTAGACAGTTCCCCTCAGGCTTTAGGGCCAGTAATCCAGGAGTCCCACACATTTTCAAAGCCACATAACTTCCTTTGCTATAGCAAGGTGCCCAGTCCTCTACCTTGTTCTATGGGACTTGGGCATTTGTTGGTTTACATCCCACTAATTCCTCCATCTCCTAGAATCCCCTCACCCAGACTGTTTTCTCCTGTGACTAGAGAGAATGACAGACAGACCACCCAGCCTTGCTCAGTGAGTTCCAAACACTCTGAGGCATCCTGAGCTGTGTCAAAGGTCTTTCTCTACGTGAGCCGCACTGGTTTTATGTTATAGGCCATGTATGAGCCTGTATTTGGGGCGGGAACCAGGAGTCATTTAAAGACAGAGTTAGGTCATCTTCAGTTTCAAAGACCTAGAATTGTCACCCTGATGTCTGAGGACCTCAAAGTTCGGAGCCTCAAAAGGACCAAGGAGCCTGCTGACCATGACATGACACCTCCTTCCACGCTGTTCACCAGACCTGGAGGGCACCTGGGTCATGGGGGACAGGAGGACACACATCCATGTTCTGGGAGCACAGAGCTCTCTTCCCACACACAGAGGTCTCCTGGCAAAACACCTTCCTTGGAGCCATTGACCCTGACCTGAACACCAGAAAATCAGCCAGCCACCGCCACAGGTGCAGTCAAAAGACACCTGTTCTCTTACTCTCGCTAAAGCTGCCCTGCTGGCCTTTGTGACCACAGTGTCCCAGACCCTTACCCGCTTGGCTGCTTGCCTATTTCTGTGCCATGACCGAGACTGTAAAATCACATAGACCAATCACCAATGGCAAATGATTTTTTTAAAATGAGTGTGCAAGAGAAGCACAAGAGAGAGAACTCTTTCAAATTCGCTTTTTAATTTTGAAAAAATGTAGAGTTTTCAGTTAATTTTTTCCAACAGGTGTAAAATAAATTATGGCACTGCCACTCAATACATTCTGAAGACTGAAATATAGGCTATCCCCCCAAATGTATACACATACTCTGAATAATTATAAAGGCAGTGTTTATTAAAATACATTTCATTTTCAAAATTGAGCTATCAGCTGTTATAGTGCACATTTTGTACAATGTGTAAACATTTGGAGGGATGTATTTTTACAGCATATTTGAGGGGAGAAATGCTCAAAATTACAGAAGGAGTATAGTTACAATCATGTAGAACATACAAAACACAGTAATGGCAAACATACTGGAGGAAACACATCAAACTGTTACTAACTGATATTGTCGTTTGATGGCAAATTGTACTTTCTTCTTTTCTAATCATTGGCTATTTTCCAATGACTTCCTAATAAATTTGCATTCTCATCATAAAGGAGACATAGCTTTTGTTTTATTTTGAAAACAAATTAGATATAAATTTCTCTGCTTGCCTATCTACAGCCTTGTGAAAGAAATAAGATATAATTTAAATCTAAATGTTTTAATATTACTGTCAACAAAAGGTTAGTAATGCTATTGTACAAAAATATCATTTATGTGAATTAAATTTATCCAAGTCTAGGAGAACTGAACTTGTGGTCAGAACCCTGGGATCACCATTTTTTTTTTTTAATTTTATTTTGAGGTAATAGAAGATTCACATGCAGTTGAAACTACTCTTACATTGTGTGTATGTGTATATATTCAGTCCTGTGCAACTTTATCTCCTGTGTAGGCTCATGTGGCCACCCGTCCTGCTTCAGAAAAGTCCCATCACTTATTCCTGGTGCAGCCACAGCCCTCAAGCCCCTTGCCCTGCTCCCTAACTCCTCGCGATGGTGATCACTTTGGAGCAATGATCATTGACCCCCAACATGCAGATCACACTGCCAAGCTCTGGAGGATGGTGACACAAACATAATCAGATGTACAGGCCTCGTGGTTAGGAGGAAGGGTGGGAACCAGACTAACTGGGTTCAGATCTAGGGTGTGCCGCGGACCAGCTGTGTGACCTCTGTCAGGGTTCTCTCTGGGCCAGTTTCTTCAACCAAGTGGGGCCAACAGACCCTCCTAGGGTTGTTCTGAGGCTTCCGTGAGCTGGTGTTGGTCATGCGAGGAGACAGTGCCTGGTCGCTACACCTGGGAACACATGGGAACTCTGGCCAGGTCAGCCCATGTTGGGCGAGGTGCTGTCAAGGTAAACACAAGCCGGGAAGACGTGGGCGGAGCCACTGTTCTGCTGTGGAAGACGAGCTTCACCGGAAAGGGAATGTTGGGGCTGGGCTTTGAAGCATGAGTGAAACTTTAACAGAAATAAAAGGGAAGGGGAAGGTGCTTCATGCAGATAAAACGGGGAGATCTGTGGCCCTGAGGCATGAGCCTGGGATCTGACTGAGAGGCTAACACCGAGGCTGTGAGGAGACTGCAGGGGTGGGGAGGGGACGTAGGCACAGAGGAAGCCCAGGTTTTGAGGGGTCCTGAGTCCACACTGTGATTAGCACCGCGGTTGTCAAACCTGGAGAAGACTGGACAGAGCAGGAAGAAGGAAGACTGCCTCCTAACACAGGTGCATCCGGAGGGGGAGGGCGGATGGCAAGGAACTTTCTAATCAGGAAACTCGAGCAAAGGTGATTATTATTCGTCTGATTAAAACCAAAAGCAGCAGCAACCATGTCTTCAACGTGGTCGCTGTTCTTTTTAGAACAAGCATGTCAAACTCAAAGGCTACGTGGCCCAAATAAACGAGGCATGTGGCCCGCAGGCTGTGAGTTTGACATGCTTGTTTTAGAAGCATAAAACTGAGTGTTTGGGAATTAGCAGTTATTAGGCTAATTCATCCACAACTGAGAAGCCAGGGCAGTGCCCATGGAGCCAGGTGTTTCCAATGCCCTTCCCCGACCTCAAACCACCCTCTTCCAGGATTTCCAAAGGAAGCCAGTGGGAAGTCCCTCCTGGACGCTGGTACTCATTGATGTTTCTATATCTCTCACTCTCTCTTTTCCTCTCTCTGAAATCAATAAAAATATATCTTTTTAAAAAAAGGGAAAGGCAACTTGAATTTGTTAATAGCCTAGCCCAAGCCCAACAAATTCAATTATTTGTGTTTGAAAAGGCTTATCTGATCATCTAGCCTTTTGCTTCTTTAGGCTCAGGATGTCCTGGTCCCTGAAGGTGTTGGCCTCCCTATCTGAGAGGCACATCGCCTCCTGCTGATTCCCTGGGGCCCTTCCCTCCCCTGTTTGCTGTGACTGGACCCAGGGCCTGCTCAGAAGTCTGCCTGCCTTTCACAACCAGATTCTTGCCTCTCTGGTCCAATGACCTGTTACCACCTACACTTTGGTGTGGCACGTAGGACAATACGTGGTCCAATGACCTGTTACCACCTACACTTTGGTGTGGCACGTAGGACAATAACAAGTTACCCTGTGTTTCTGCTTTGAATTTTTTCTCAATCAGCCACCTTCCTCTGATTATTTTTCTCATTGTAGAAAGAGAGGGAGGAAGGGCAAAGAATGCTTATTCCACTTCCTTAACCTAATTATGTGGTCTACTCTACACAGACCGAAAACAATGATCAAGTTTATCCCGCAGTAGCATCAGACGTGTTTCTTTTAGTCCTGTTATTCTTATATCCGTGAGAAGAAAAGATATTGGAATAAATGGCTCTTGCTAAGAGCCATTTAGTGTGGTGTACAGTTTGGCTCTGAAAACTAAGACACCAAAAAAGGGAAAATGGAAAAAACCCTCCCCTCTAAACCAGCTTGAGCATATGGACTTCCCTGAAGATCATGAAGATGAAATGTAACCAAATAAGACAGAAATAAATACTCCCATGGACCCTGAAAACAACACCTCTTGTTCTCCCATAAACAGTCTCCCTTCCCGACCTTCCCTTGAAGGTGACCTGTCAAGGATGATTTTACCAGCATCATCACAAATACAACACCTTCCCAACAAAACACATCCAGACATTTCTCTCCCAAGCTTTCTTCAGCCAATTTCACTTCTAGCCATTAAATCAAATTTTCATTTAAACAAAAAAAAACTATAGCATGTATTTTTTTTTTAAATCACACAACAGCCAGCCAAGAATATCAAGAGAAAGACAACTTAGCCCAGCTAGTGTGGCTCAGTGGTTGGGCATCGACCCATACATCAAGAAGTCGCCAGTTTGATTCCGGTTTGGGGCTCAGGTTGCAGGCTCCATCCCCAGTAGGAGATGTGCAGGAGGCAGCCTATCAATGTTTCCCTCTCATTGATGTTTCTATCTTTCTCACCCTCTCCCTTCTCTCTCTGAAATCAATAAAAATATATTGAATTTGTTAATATAGCCCAAGCCCAACAAATTCAATAATTTGTGTTTGAAAAGGCCAACGTCTTTAATTCCCTAAGCCCCGAGTGAAGTCTTTTATACAATTAGACGCTGTGTCTTTCAGTGTTTGATGGCAGGGTGGTGCCCAGTCCATGGGTGACCCAAGTCTGCTTTTCTGACTTCCCCCAGGCAGAGGGCAACCAGACAGTGAGAGGAAATACAACATTAATGATGGCAGAAAAGAATGATATAGTCTGTGTTTATTAATTCTCATGGGAGGACACTTTTTCCATTGATTTTTAGAGAGTAGACGGGAAGGAGGGAGGTGGGGGAGAAACATTAATGTAAGAGAGACACATGGACAGGTCGCCTCTCAAATGGGGCCGGGGATTGAACCTGCAACCCAGGTACTCACCCTTGACCAGGAATTAAACCTGTGGCCCTTCAGTGGGGAGCTGATGCTCGAATCACTCAGCAACACTGGCCAGGGCAAGAATGATTTATTCTTATTGAACGGGGTAGGATAATCTAAGAAGTTAATTGTGCCCTGTTCGTGGCAGCAGACACCTCAATGAAGGACAAAAGGTCATTCCTTCCCCTACCCAGGCCCCCACCATCCACTCCCAACCTCCCATTCCAGGCTGGTTTTAATCAGCTTTGTTTCTGCAAAGTCAATATAAATCACCTGAGGGACTTGTTACAATGCCCATTTCTGGGTTCCTCTCTGGACCTACCGATTAACATTTCTGGGGATGGGGCCTGGAAGCCACATTTTTAACAAATTCCTTAAGAAATGCTATTCCAGGGGTTTTGGGGAACACTCATTGAGAAACACTTGAGTAAAAGAGAGAAGGAAACTGGAATATTTGGGCGTAGGGGGAGGTGAGCTGAGGCTTCAAAGAAGGAACCAGACCTTGGGAGGCTCCTATCCCAGGCGGGGAGCTTAGTCTGGCATTTAACCCGGCTGTGCTTTTAACCTGCAACTCATCCTTCTGTGTCGTCCTCTCCAAGGACCCTCCTGTCCCCCTGGCCCTCAGGCTGGCCCACCAGAGGTTCCTGCTCCTCAGTGCCCCTTCTGAGCTATGCATCCTTCTAGCTCAGCACCGACCACACTGCACTGTCATGGCCCACGTGTGTTATATGTCTAACCTCCCCGCAGTGAGCTGCTGCAGGCGGTGAAGTGATTTATGCTCGGAGCCTGGCGGGCAGTAGGTGTCCTATAAATGTTCAGCAAGCAGACGACTGTGTTCCGTTTACAACCACGTCACCATCACCTGGTCCTGATTTTTCACACGGAAAGTGCTAGGCCACTCCTTGCTCACGGCCTACGACGCTTGGTTTCTGGCCGAGGAACTGGGCCCCGTTTCTAAAGCCCTCCTTTACCAGCGGGTATTACCGGGGTCAGAATGAAACATCAGAAGCCTGAGCTTTTGATTATATTGTCCGTTTAAATGTTTTGTTTCAGAAAGAACTAAAGCTCTCCCACACTCTGCCCAAAGTCCCCACACAGGCGGAGCCCCTCCGAGGAGTTCAAGGCGCAGGAAACTGTACCACCAGGTGATTCTAGCATCGATCCCGCCGTGTCCAAAGCAAAACACCTGACTTCCCTGCTGGCCGCCCCACTCCCCAGCTGCAAGCACCGGTTTCGGTCTGGCCAGCCCCTCCCACTCAAGAGCAGACGTAAGAAAGGCAATCCGAATTTTAAATCTGAAACCATTTCACAATGAAGGGAAGGGACGTTCCATGAAGGGGCAATCACAAAGGCCTCCCCTGTGAGGTCTCCGTTATGAAACTCCCCTTCATTCTCGAAGCATAAAACTGACACCGGGGCAGCCACATGAAAGCGAAACCTGAGCACCGAGCGCCTCCGTGGGGTTTACCGCGCGCACCTGTGCTCCGCAGTGCGCCCCACGCGCCGCCACCTACCTTGTAGCACGGCCCTCGCAGGATCTTGGGGGCTCATGAAGCCCGAGCCGTGGAGAACCTGGAGGGCAGCCCAGCGTTCGGGGGTCCTCTGCTAAGTGGCTCCAGAGGCCGCCTTCACAGTTCACAAGGAAGGGCTCTGTGTCCAGGACTCAAGCCACGACCAAGTCCATTACCGAGGCCCGCACAGGGTGTCGGCGGCCCGGCCAGGCCCTAGCATCCAAGAGCGAGTCTCACCGACCCCGCAGCCCGCTCCGGTCCGCCCGCGCCCGCGCCCCCGCCCCCGCGAGGAGCTCTAAATCCACGAGGGAGGGGCGCCGCACGAGGCCCGCACCTGGCTTAGGTGCCGAGTGGGCGGCGCGGCCCACCCCGCGGGCCTCCCAGCCCGGCTGCTGCCCACGCACCGGGATCCAGGATGGCCTCCCCCAGCGGCCGGCTGAGGGGCGCAGGCTCAGGCTCCCCGGCGTCCGTGCGCGCTCCGCACACCTGTCTGCCCCGCGAGGCTTCATTAGGCCGCGCCTGTGCAGCCCGCCGGCCCCACCGCGGAGTCCAGGCCATGGAACCCACCAAGGAGCCCCGCCGGGAACCGCGGGGTGAGCCGGGGCGCGGGGGCGGGCTGGGGGCGCTGGCCCACCACCCACCTTAGGAGGCTCTTCTAGAGCTCGGGCAGGCCGCGGGCTGGGCCCCACTCCACCCGGTCTGAGGTCCCCATCTCTCTACACGCGGAGAAAAGTCAGGGCTGGAGTCCTAGGACTGCTAGTCTAGGTCCCAACATCCGTCACTTTTCTTATTTGATGCGTGGCATTTATTGAGCACCTACTATATACCAGGTGAGCTAGGCTACCAGCTCTGCCTCCCCCACCCAGCCTTGCCCCTTCACCCCCGTAGAGGCCTGTCCATGCTCCACCAGCTGCAGGTCCCTCCTGTGGGGCAGGCCCATGTGCACTCAGGAAACTGTGACAAAGCACCTTGGCCCATCTTACTACACACACTCCGGGGAAAGTCATTCCTTAAGACATTCTATCTCATGCAATTTCGTTAGAGTAACAATAGCACTAAGTCACTAACTAGTTAGTATGCATTTGTAAATATTCCAATTTATTTGGAAATGATGAAGCAGCATCTTGAGTGGAGGATTCTGGGGTTCTGAGTAGTGGGGATGTGGTGGGGGGGAGGGTTTGGTGGCCGGGAAGACTGTGCTTGGGGATTAGGAGCACTTGCCCTGTGATCTGGGCAAATGACTCACCTTTCTTGTCCGTGTTTCCGTGTTAGAAGGAGATGTGGACAGTGCCTCCCTCGAAGGGATCAGATGCCACTAATTTATGGAAGGTGCTAGCACAGGGCCTGGTGCACCTGGAGAAGTCAGAGCTCAGATGGGCTTGGAGAGTGTCAGCAGCGTCACCCTCCCTCCCTTGTGTAAGGACAGCGGCCCGGGCCTGGTCCCCTGTGTGAGGTTCTGCTTCCGGGGAAGGACAGGGGTGCGGATAGCCGTGAGGAGGGCTGGCAGGGCAGAGTGACTTCTGTGGAAGGTGAGGGGGTCATTCCTGTTGTCTCCTTTGCTGTCCTTGCCTGGGCTTCAGGAGGCCATCCAATGCCGCCCTGGCCCTACTCTAAGCCACAATGTCTAGACCTACAGCAAGAACAAAAGCTCGTTTTAGAAACAGAATCTCTCTGCCCAGTCTACCCCAACCCCAACATCTGTCCCTTAGAAACGCTGAACAGATGCCTGTCCTTCAAACTCACCTTCCAGGTGGCAGGAAACTAGCAGGGCGCTCACAGGAAGTTAGTCCCCCCATTGGGATACCCTCTGCCATCTGTGTAGATGAGCCAAGGCCCCTTAGAGTTGCCTAGACTCTTCAAAGCAGTGGCTCATCTACTTCAGTCCTCACAATAGGCAGGTTAGGAAGCTATGCCTGGAGCTAATTCTGTACATGGACAAATTCAAGCTTAAGCTCAAACCAGAAACCAGTTACAGTGCTCATTCCCCACAGGCCAGGAAGGTGGAGGCAAGCCCCTGACTGCGGGGTCGGAGAAGGAAGGACCGCCACGGAGTCCAGCCCCCGCCACTCAGGAGGTCCCACGTGGGGAGCCGCCCCCCTCCTGCGCTGTCCTGGGAGAGAAGACGCCACCCAAGGCCCCCGACGCCAGGGGAGCATGCCAGCCACCAGGCTCTGTCTGCAAAGACAGAACCCTGGTCCCGCCCCGCCCCCAGCCTCAGGGAGACGGGTGTTCCGTCCCCAGGAGAGAGGCTAAGGCAGGGAAGAGGTCCTTCGCTCCGGGCTCTGGGAAGCAGAAAAAGTTTGTCGCCACGGGTCCAGTCTCCATGTCACCTCCCCACGTCACTAACTCAGCCCGTGACACCAACAACCCAGTGCCCTGTGGGTCAGGCCGGGGGCCCTGCCACCTGGCCAACCTCCTCAGCACATTGGCCCAGAACAGCCAAAACACAGACCAAAAGAAGCCCCTAGAAGTGACCTGCCAAGTGCGGAAAAAGACTCGAACCCTGTACCGCTCAGGTGAGTCCCTGAAGGTGAGAGTCAGCCTGGGGTCTGGTGTCATCTCTGGGAAAGGTGCGCTCAGCAGGGAACGTGGCCCGCGAGACTGGAGGGTGGTTTGCTTGCACATTGCCTGTCCTGGACCCCCTTGGCCTGTGGCGGGGCCATGGCCTATCAAGGCTGGGGGTGCATCAGAGTGAAATTGAAAACAGGTTGGAAAGGTTAGACCCCACCCACAAGGCCCGAGGAGAGGAGGCCCGGCCCAGTGGGAAATAGTTGAGAGACTGGGGAGCCCTGGGCTGGGCCGGTGGTCCCATCTGGCAGGCATCCTTCTCCTCTCCTACCACATCCCTGGGGTTGGTATTCATGGGAGTTTCTCCTCCTTCCAGACCAGCTGGAGGAGCTGGAGAGGATATTCCAAGCAGACCACTACCCTGACGGTGACAAGCGCCGGGAGATTGCCCAGACAGTGGGGGTCACCCCCCAGCGCATCATGGTAAAGGGGGCTGGGCAGGGACGGGTGGAGGAGAATCCACGCTGGGCCTCTGGACAGCAGGCAGGTGTGCAGCACCTCTGGCTCGGGCTGAGGTTACAGCTCTTAGGGCTGTCTTGCGTGTCCACATCGCTGCAGCCTAGAAAGCGAGAAGGGGAAAGGCTGCTAGAGGGACCTTCTATGACACCAGCCTCACAGGCGGCATCTGCAGCGCAGCGGTGAGGCAGCTCCTCGCGGGATAGTCAGGACGGCTGAGCTTCTGCCCCTTCCTCAAGCTCTCCTAGTGTCTCTCCCTGCAGGTGTGGTTCCAGAATCGCCGGGCAAAGTGGCGAAAAGTGGAGAAACTGAATGGGAAGAAGGACAAGGACAGTCCTGCAGGTCCAGCCCCTGCCAGCGGCCAGGACAGGTGAGTTCCTCCTCCTGCTGGGTCATCCCTGGAGGTGGGAAGAGGGGTCCAAGCTGGGACCTGGGTCTCAAAGTCTGGGCGTTGAGGCTGGAGCTGCTGGCTAACATTTAGGGGCTTTGGCTGCATGGGATGGGGCAGTGGCCAGTGCCTTGGAGGGAGGCTGTCCCTTTCCTGGCACCGAGGCCCCGATCTATGTCCAGGGACCAAAGTACAACCTTCACTCTGTCTGCCTCCAGCTCTGCTGCTGAGCTGCCACCTGCTGTGCCCATGGACCCGGAGCCTGGTGCCTTCCCTCAGGAGCCCCCTCTAGACACACTGCCAGGTGAGCTGACCCCCTTCTGAGGATTATCTGGGGGGTGGGGGGGAGATGACAGGAAGACAGTGAAGACAGAGGGGCTTTCTTGGTAGGCATGGGAGTGGCCCAAAGCCCTCTGCTGTCCTGCATGTCTACCTTCCAGCAACCCCAAGTCTGCCTCCCCATTCTCTTACCTTCACAACCCTCGTGTCTTCTGCTCCTAGAGCCCCCCATGCTTCTGACATCTGACCAGACTCTGGCCCCAACCCAACAGAGCGAGGGTGCTCAGAGGGTGGCAGTGACCCCACCACTCTTCAGCCCCCCGCCTGTCCAAAGGGCCAATCTTCCCTTCCCTCTCGGCTCTGCCCACACCCCCCAACTGATGCCTCTGCTGATGGACACACTTGGCAGTGACAGCAGCCACAGAGATGGCTCCTGTGGGTCCTGGGGGACAAGGTATGAAACCAGTGGGGGTGGCCACTGAGTTATCTTGGGAAGGGTTTCAGAGCAGAGAGGGGCTTGGGATGGCAAAGGGTTAGCCGAGAGGAGCAAGGAGCAGTAAATGGGAAGCGGGTGAAAGGGGTGGAAAGGGTAGGCTATCTCAGCATTAAAGCAGGAATGAGGCGAGAAACTGGGAGCAGGCAGAGGAAGAGGAGGTGGCGGCAGGTGGGGCCTGGAGGTGGGGAGAGGGGTGAGGAGAAGGCACTGGCCTACTGTGTGGTCAGAATGAGGAGGCCCCCCAACCCTCACAAATGCTTCCCTGTCCCCACAGTGTCACCCCACCCCCTACCTGCTCATACCTGGAAGAGCTGGAACCCCAGGATTACCAGCTGAGCAACCAGCCGGGACTGTTCCAGGTCTCCCAGGCTCCGCAGACCCAGCTTTTCCAACAGCCTCAGCCCCAGTTTTCCTATCTGCACCCCTTCCCCTTCTCCACGCCCAGCTCACTGATGCCCCCACTGCCAGAAGACGCTTTCTTCCCACCGTCTTACGGCCCCAATGGGGGGACCTCACAGGGCTACTTCCCAGCGCCCCCGGCAGGGCAGGGCCTACTGCAGCCGCCTGCTGGGAGCATGGGTGAGTTCGGGCTGGAAGGGAAGGTTCCCTTGGTGACTGAGGAAGGTGAGAAGGGACAGAGGCCTCATTACCGGGGAGGCTGGGGCAGGGCGTGGTGCGAGGGAAGCTTTTTTCTTGCCACGGGGGTCTTTTCCTCAAGTTTCTCAGAGGATGCTGAGCAGAGAGAGAGTCAGCCAGAGAGCTTTGGAGTCCAGCTCAGCAGTTTCCAACTCTCCTGGGCCTCAGGTTCCTGGGCTCTGAAATGGGAATATGATTCCCCTATCATGGAGACACCTGATGAAGAGGAGGAATGACATGAGGGCTGTGCCTGGCGCAGAGTAGCTGGCGGCTAATACGAGTGTTCTGACGGGCCGCTGGGCCTCTGAGAACCTGGAAGCAGCCATCTGATGACTAAATTCCAGGAGAAGGGGAAGAGTGGCCAGTGGGTTTGGGTCTCTTTGCTGCCACAGTGCACTGTGTCCAGGCCCGAGTCTGGAGCATGCCTGGTCCTCAGGGGAGCTCCTGGTGCCAGTCTGCCTCCTAGACTTGCGTGGGGTCCTAGCCTGTGTGTCGGAGGAGGCAGATGTTCACAGCACGTGCTGAACTGTGGCTGGTGCCTCAGTCCTGTCTAATTACTCCTATGTTCTTTGACCCCACAGGCACAGTGCCCTGGAATGACCCTTGCTGGCCAGAACTGCCCTTCCCTGGTCCCTTCTGTCCCCAAGCTCTGGGGCACCCCTCAGGAGGGGACGGCTACTTTTCTGATCTGTTTCCGGCTCCCTATGCTCACCCTGTGAGCAGACAGCCTTCTCCAGGGCCCAGCCGGCTGCCTGACGGGGCCAGGCCAGGAGCTGGACCCTTACCCAGCAAGGCCCCCAGTGAGCAGCCCACGGCCACTGTGGAGCAGCATTTGGCACCCAAGGAGGCCCAAGAGGAGGACAGAAACAGCCACGGCCCCTAGTCCTGGGGCCACATGTCAGACAGGCTGCTGGGTGGAGGGGTTGGGGCGCCATCAGGGAGATGGCGGCAGAAGCATTAGGAAAGACTGGGGGCTGTGTTGACTGGGGTGCAAGTTGGACATGCTCCTGTGTGAGCTCATCTTGCTGGGCACTGGTGTGAGGAGGGAGGGGCTGGCTCTACCCGACTCTCCACACCTCTGTACGGTGTCGGCCCTGAAGGTGATGGCCGGTACCACTTAGGAACTCTGTATCAGCATGTGTTGTTTCCTTTCCTGGCCAGACACATGAGCCAGAGTGTTCACTGTAAGCAGTAAACGAGTGTGCTGTTGGTTTCTCTCTGTAATTACTGTCTCCCCACTCACACTGAGCTCCAGTCCCAGGCGAGGGCGCCACTGGGCGTGATCAGGTGCAGCTGGCATTCTCCCTGGCCTGTCTCTCCTGCTGGAGGAGAAACTGGGCATTTGGGGCCTTGTCTTCACTCGGAATTTGGACTCTGGAGGGACAGGGTTACAAAAGCAGCCCAAGCATATTTCAGGGTCAGACTCCCCAAAGCATTTCTTTTTTTGGCGGGTGAGGGGCGCTAAGAAGAGGATGCTCTTATATATAGTTAGCACCCCACATCGGATAGCCCACAGTGCCCACTGCATTGGGGGGCATTCTGGACCTCTAATGCTGATTATTGGAAAATACACATCCTCTTGCTGTTATCATCCTCTCAACAGTGCAAGCTCAGGGCTTTGCCATTGACCAGAGCAGAATCCTTCCTTGCAGACTCCAGGAAAAAATGTCTCCCCCATCTAAATTAAGTTTTCACTGTCACAATGTTTCCACCAGATGGCAATCCACCACCAGTTTCTCTGTGGCCTTAAACTGGTGGTTTACAGCAGCAATGTTCAACCTTTTTCATCTCATGGCGCATGTAAACTAATGACTAAGATTCTGCGGTACAGTAAAAAATATGTATTATTTGCCAATCTGACAAAAAATACGTTTAATTTTGATTCTTTCATACTGGACAGCTATTGTGTTGGTTGTTGTCATTTCTTTATTTGACAATCTAAAGGAAAAGAGGTCAGTGCCCCAGACTAGTCAGGTATTGCATGCTTTAAAAATTCTTGCAGCATGCAGGTCGAAAATCACTAGTTTGCAGTAAGAAAGCCCATGCTAATTCTTCCAAAAGCCCTAGAGCCACTAACATCAGATTCAAAGATATTAAAGTCATTTGGATTGTAGCTTACCAGATAAAATGTATGATGTCCAGTTACATTTGAGCTGCAGATAAACAAATCCTTTTTTAGTATAAGCATGCTTCCTACAATAGTGGAGTGTCCTGTATTTTTATGTATGCTAAATCTGGCAATGCTGGTTGTAGCACTTTGCTAAAAACTCTACATCCATGCTAACATCTTGATCCAAACAGAGGTTGTCCAGGAGCCGGCCTCTGTATCTCGGCTCAGCTTTTTGCAGTTCAGGCTCCTGAGCAGCTGGATCATGGTGTGAACCCAGTTCATAGAAGACTCCCCTCCCTCCTGCCATTATAACCCTCCATCCAGGCTCCACATGTGTCTAAAAAAATGCTCTAAAATCTATTGGATTCCTATTATATTTTCTGTTCCTGTTAGCTACATATTACTGAGATAGCCCATTAGAAGTTATTTTTAAACACCTATTTTAACATCATTTGCATAAACGGAGCACAGAAAAACAGGAAGCAAAATACAATTTGACTTCTATTGATTCTACTCCAAGTCCTAAACGGTCTTTATGAATTAAGAATAAGTCTGATTTCCAGGAAGTACATCATTTTCATTCACCCAGAAGTGGTGTTATTTTAGTTCAGAGAGAGATTTATGGTTTTTATATTTGTGGTTTGGTTCACACTGTTCTTTCAAAAATACCCTCTCATTCGAGTTTCATCACCAAGTCCTCAGAAATAAAGGCAGCTGCATGTTTTGGCACTCAGTGGGATCTACAGGATCTACAGTCCCGGGCAAACACAGATAAGTGAAAGGTCTTTCTGGCTTGCAGGGAACCGACAGTCTTGTCCAGGAGTCTGGCCACAAGTGCCCAGTTAGACTGCAGGAGGGCAGAGCTGTGCAGGGTCAGCCCCAAGAACCAAGTGTGACCAAGGTCCCAAAGGTGGGCAGCCATGTCTGCTGGAACTGAGAATGCTGGAGTCTGAGGCATCACTCCTACAGGAAGAACCAAATTAAGATAAGCAGAGCAGGAAAGAAAGGATACTTCAGGCAGAAGGCACAGTGAGCGTGAGGCCACTGAGACTGGAAAGATGATTAAGGAGGGGTTCAGAGTGGCTGGATTTGTATAGATAAAGCCAGTGGGAAGGCTGTAGTAGAAGATCTGAGAAGCACTGGCAGGTTTAAGGTGTGGGCATATCTTGTTCAAATTTGTTTTAGACAGACAGATGGAAAATATGACCAGAGGCTTAGAGGAAGCTGGGAAACAAGATAGGGCTACAGTTTGAGTCTAAGTGAGAGATGATGGAGAGAGAATAGGGCAGATTGGAGAAATACTTAAAGAGTCAGGCTCAGTTAATAGGATGAAAGTTCACTGAAAGGAATTGAAGAGAAAGGAAAGAAGATGGACACTTTGGTAACTAAGAAATGCTGTTAATTGAGAAAGGAAATAATGGGATGGAGCCGATTTGGGGAAGGTAGACCACTCTGTATGTTGAGCAGAAGTTCCTGTAGTTATCTGTGTGGACACATTTAGTGAGAACAACATGGAAGTAGGTCTGTGGGGCCTCTTCAGTGTAGAAAATGCTAATTAAGGTCAAGAGACCACACCAGATTGCTCAGGCAGAGCACCTGGCATAAAGAAAAGTTGTCTTGGAAGAGACTCGTGGAAACACCAAATAAGACGAGGAGAATGGGGTGGGAGAAAAGGGGCTGCTGAGACTGATGAGGAAAGACTGGAAGGTGCAGATGAAGAGCTGGAAGGGCTGTCAGATGGGGAGGGATCAAGCCCCATGGGGTCAAAGTCTGGAAAGGAAGGTGGACAAGTAATTGTGCAAATTAGATATAATTATCCTAATTTTCAGAGGAGGTACGGAGGTTTCTATGATTTCCTAAAAATGCCTTATCCAAGTCAAGATAAAAGTCTTTTGAGTTTATTTTCCACATCACCAAATGCAGACAGAGGAGTCTTGCTTCCTGAATATATCACTTAAGAAACTGGACAAGCCTTAATAGGTGCATGTGTACTTATGACAGCCAATTCTGTGTGTTTGTATGTTTACAAGACCATGAGGAACTGAAATACTTTTCCCAAAAATTGGTCCTCAGACAAAATATTAATTATGATGGTAAGAATTTATTTATAATATATTGTGTATGTAGCTCTCTAATAGGTCATTTCATTTCATGGCAAATCTGTATGGCATTTTTTTTTATTTTTTCTTATAAGGTAGTATTCATGTGACTCAGAGAGGTTTAAGTATTTGCCCAAAGTTGCAAAAGAAACAAGTATTGGTCAGAAGGTGCCAACTTCAAGCAGTATATTTTGATAGTTTTAGAGGGAGATGACAAAGAAGGTCAGAAGGTGGGGCTGAGTATAGTAAAACAATAGGTGCAATCTAGATTAGATTTAGAATCCTCCATAGACCCTAGGTCTGTGTTTAAATAACACACTCAGCTGGCGTGGCTCAGTGGTTGAACCCTGACCTATTACCCAGGAGGTCACATTTTAATTCCCGGTCAGGGGACATGCCAGGGTTGGGGGCGTGATCCCCAGTAGAGGGTGTGCAGGAGGCAACCCATCAATGATCCCCTCTCATCATTGATGTTTCTATCTCCCTCTCCCTTCCTCTCTGAAATCAATAAAAATGTATTTAAAAATAAATAACACGGCACTGTTTAGTTTGATTTAAAAGAAACAGGAACATTGTGTGAGACAGGAGAGGGCGAAGAGAGCAGTGAACAGGAGGGTCCATGTTGCAAGCTGGAAAGGGATTGGAATGTATAGAAAGAACAGGCCAAGAGGGAAGTGAAGTGGACGTAGGAGCAACAAGAAAGAGGCAGATGGAGGGGGCTGGATGGCTAGATGGGGTACAGCTGTGACCAGTCTTACCTGGTAGATGATAGGGCAGTGGTTCTCAACCTTGGCTACACATTAGAATCACCTGGGAATCTTTTTAAAATCCTGATTTCTGGGCCTCATCCTCCAGAAATTCTGTTTCTTTGTTATGGGATGGGGCCACAGCATTAGTAACAAAGAAACAGAATTTCCAGAGGATGAGGCCCAGAAATCAAGCAGGATTTTAAAAAGATTCCCAGGTGATTCTAATGTGCAGCCAAGGTTGAGAAGCACTGTGATAGGGGTAAAGAGGAGACAGTCAAAGCTGAGATCCTGATAGCACTCCTACAGAAAGACGGCAGGTGAAAGGATGGGAGAAGGCATGCCCTTGGGGAAGTCTCCAGTGCCCAGGTGTGAGCTATTGAGACTAGAATAGTGGAAGGGAAACAGAGGGAAGCAATCTCCGTGAACTACGAAAAAATCAGCAGAACCTGATTGTGTAGGTGGAGAGGAGAGAATGTCAAACTGACTACTTGTTTCAGAGCCCAGGCATCTGGGAGTATGACTTACAAGCAATGGAAGTCTAGAAGTGTTGGTTTCTGGTGCCTGCGTTAGTAACTTTCCCACTTTATCTGCTTCTTCGTCTCATCACTCTGGTCTACTTGCCTCAGGTACATTCCTCCTGCCATAGGTTTTCATTATCTGGGATTGGAGTTTCCACCCCTGGAGATTCCTGGGTCCTTCCCAATTCACTTTCACCCTGTTGCTGCTTATGTGGCCTCTTCCACCGAATTCTATGCCATGTGTCCTCCCTAGACTGGCACCCCACCCCATCATATCCCAGCAGCCTGTTGGGAATATAGAGTCCCTTCTGAGCTATCAGCAACAATAAGCCTTTACTCTTTCTAAGCATTCCATTTTGTCCACTTTTTCATTATACCTTCATTATACCTTCTTACCTATTCACTTT